CACCACAGGGGGGGTCATAGGACGTTTATTGAAAAAGGGGGGAGGTGACGCGGGGGGGTTGGACTCTGGGGGGGCTCGGACCTGGCACTGCCCCAACTGGGGGGGTCTGGTGTTCCCCTCTGGTACCATATTCACAAATAAATACTGGGGAGGGGGCACGGGGCAGGGCTGGGGGCTGCGGGAACCAACAGCAACCCGAACCCAAAGCAGTTCAAAGCAGCCCAAAGGCCAGGGAGGGGCCGCATTACCCCCCGCCGTGCCCCGGCACCTCGCCAGGCCCCGGGCGCTCCGTCCACAGCAGAGCGGGGCCAGAACAGGAGATTCTCCTGCTCTCGGAGAGCCCCCGCCCTGTGGAGGGGGGAGGAAAGCCGTGTGTGTCCCTCCAAAAAAAGGGGTTGGGCTGAGGTCCCCCCGCGGCTGGGGGGGCGAGCGGAGGGGACTGAAGGGACACGGGGTGGGTCAGAGGGGCTGGGGGGGGACGGTGGGGGGGGGTCAGCGGAGCAGGGGGGGGTCACTCCCGGACGTAGACCCTGGTGCAGACAACGTCATCGGCCGTCATGGTCTGCAAGGAGAAGCAGGGTCACGGCACGGCCCCCTCTCCATCCCACCTCATCCCATCTCATCCCACCCCACGGGAATTTCCCAGCATGCACTAGGGCAGCGCTGCCCCCGGCGACCCCCCCCACTCTCCCCTCACCAGGATGAGCTCCCCGTCGTTGGTCATCTCCCGGGACCAGCCCGTCTTGGGCCCGTCGCCCTTGAGCAGCCGCTGCTCACAAACCATCTTGTTCTCGCTCTCCCACCTGGCCAAGCTCTGCAGGGGGGGAGAGGGCAACATTTGGAGGGGGGGCACCCAGCAGGACACCCCCCCACTGCACCAGAGCATCTGTCACTGCCCCTGAGGGAGGGACGGGGCCGTTTGTCCCTGCACCAGATGGGTGGCCGGACTCATTTGTCACCTGGGGGCGTGGGGAGGGGCTGGGGGCACAGGGAGGGACTGGGGGGCACGGGTAGAGGACGGGGGCACGGGGGCAGTGGAAGCAGACTGCCTTCACCACGTGTGTGGCTGTGCGTGCAAAAACACCCGTGTGTGCACAAACACGTGTGTACACAAAATGTGTGTGCACACATACATGGGCACACATACATGGGCACACATGTGAGGGCTCCTGCCCTGGCACAAAAGACATGTGTGTGTGTGTGTGTGCACACGTGTGCAACTGCACACACGCATCAAGTGAGAGCTCCTGCCCCCATGTGAGACATGTACACACACACACACGTATGTGCACACACACACACATGTATGTGCACACACACACACATGTATGTGCACACACACACACGTGCATGGGTGTGCACACGCACTCCTGGATGCACACCAGAGCTGCTGCCCTCATGTAACACGCGTGTGTGTGCATGACACGCGTGCAGGCGTGACTGTGCACACACATCCAACCGTGACACACGCAAGGGAGAGCTCCTGCCCTCGTGCAAAGCGCGTGCACACACACTCACACGCACACGCTTGCACACATGTGCACACACATGGAACTGTGTGTTCTCTCTCATGTAACACGCGTGTGCAGGCACGAGTGTGCACACACGTGCAGCGGTGCAGGCACACGTGTGGCAGGGCAGGGGAGAGCTGCTGCCCCGGCGCGAGGCACACGTGTGTGCACACACACACGCAAATACACACGTGTGCGGGTGCCCACGCGTGCCCACCTTGCAGGGCCGCCCGTCCACCGTCTGCTCCTCGAACTCCTCGCCCACCCTGAAGCGGATCTCGGTGGTGCGCACGGGGGTCGAGGTGCGGATGTAGAAGCTCTCCCCGTCCTGCCGGATCTCCACCGCCGGCTTCGCCGCCGCCGCCACCGCGATCTTCCGCAGCATCATGTTCACGCCTGGGGAAGGGCACGGTGGCACCGAGCTCCCCCCTCCCCTCCCGCAGCGTCCCCCGGCGAGCTGCCCCTGCCCCGCGGAGGGACCGGAGCGGTTCGGTGCCCTCGGGGCGATGCGGCCCCCGCTGCCCCCCCGGCCCCGAGCCCGCGGTGAGCACGGGGGGGTGACCCCCGCGCTTGGCAGTGACACGTCCCAGGGCACCCCGAGCGCCGCAGGTGGCTCAAGGAGACCCATGGGGGGACGGGCGAGCCCCCCCGGCCGCATCTGGGCCACATCTGGCTCTCGTTACCTGGCGGAGGCGGGGTGGGGGTGATCCCGGGGTTGGCGCCGGATGAGCCCGGGGGAAAGGACGGGGGTGACGGGGGCGAGGGCTCACCCAGCGCGGGGTGACGGCGGGGACAAGGGCCCCGGTCCAAGCTCTGCGCCTGGTGACCCGAGTGACCCCCCCCGAGGGGTCCCACGGCCCCCCCGCAGCCCCCCCGCCAACCGCGGGGCAGCTGGGGCTTTGTCCCCGCTCCAAAGGCGGCTCATCCATCATGTCCCGGAGCCCCCGGCTGTCACGGGGGGAGCTGCTCTTTGGGGACATTGTTCCCGTGTCACCCTCCGGGTGGGCACCGGCCACACCCCCCGCGCCTCCCGAGAGGGTCCCCGCACAAAGGGGCTCCCCAGGGACCGGGGGGACACGGAGGGTCCCAGCTCCCCGGTGGGGACACAGGGGGGATGTGGGTGCTCGGGGGGGCTCCAGGAGCTGAATCCTCACAAAGTGGGGAGGGACACGTCCCTGAGGGGTCCCCTCCATGGCCACGCCAAGAGCCCACGGACACCCCCAGGTCCCTTCCCTCCCCCCGAGGCCTGAGTCACACCGGGGGGTGCCCAAACCCTCGAGTGGGTAGAGGCAGCCCCCCGCATGATGCCCACGCAGGGGGGGAAGGAGAAACAGCCCCCAAAGGGAGCAAAAACTAGGAGAGGGGGCATGATGCAGCCAGCCCGGGGGTCTGATACCCCCCCCAGACCCTCTGCCAGGGGTGTCTGGGGGTACCAGCCAGGGGAGCGAAGGGCAGGAGCCCCCCGATCCCGCCGTGGGAAAGGAAGAGGGCTCGGGGTGGGGAGGAGGGGGGGGTTGGCGGATTTATTTTCCTGCTGAGGTTTCCCCGAGCCGGTTCCAGCAGCGGGGCCGGAGGGGGGGAGAAGGGGCGACGGGGGAACGGGAGTGAAACCCAAGAAAGTGATAATTATCCTGAAATATTCGTTACGTATCCCCTAACCTGGAAAATATTCTGCTCCGGCAGCTCCCCGGCTGGCGAGGAGCGGGTCAGGCGGAGGGGAGCAGTGCAGGGGCTGGATCTGATCCTGCCCAAATCCCCGGGGACCCCCAGAGCTTGTGAGCTTGTGCTCCCCCCAGTTCCACCCCCTGCGATGGGTCTTGGCCCCCTCCCCAGCCCCGCTCCCCAGGGACACGGCACCGCGAGGGGGGCAAAGGGCCCCGAGATGAGCCCTGCGAGGGTGGGACCCCCACCCAGCGGGGTCCTACCTGGGCTGTTTTTGGGGACACGGCCGTACCCGGGCTGCGTGTGGCAGGTGAGCCCCGAGGGTGCCTTTGGGGTGGGGGGTGGAGGGGCCGAAGGGGAGCGGAGGAGTTTGGAGGTGCCTTGGGGGCCCACTAGGGTGGGGAAACTGAGGCAGGCAGGAGGGGGGTCCTCGGGGGCCGTGTGGGACCCCTGGGGAGCGGGACGTGCTGCCCAGCCCCCCCCCCGTGCCTCAGTTTCCCCAGCAGGGCACCAGCCCCGAGGGCTTTGTGAAAAGGGGGAGGAGGGGGCGTCCCCCGGCTCCGGGCCCTGTGACCCCCCGGGCCGGAGGAGGACTCGGAGGCGAGATGGGGGGAAGGCCCCCCCCGCCTCCCTTGCGCACCCCCATAGCCCGGGGGCGACCGGGGGGGACCCGGGGGGGGAGAGCCGGGCTCACTCACCCAGCGCCTTCAGCAGTTCCTCGAAGTTTTCCGAGCTCTTCATCTTCCAGTTCCCAGAGAAGTTGGGCATCGCGGCTGCCGGGGGTGGGGGGCACCGGGAGGGGGGGCACAGGGAGGGGACTGAGGGGGAACCGAGGGGGGACTAAGCGGTTCGAGGGACCCGCCGCTCCCTCCGCACCGGCAACAGCACCGGCCCCACCGCTCGCTCCCTCCGTCCGTCCCGTCCCGCCCGCGCCGCCGTTTTATCGCCGGGCTGGTCCCACCCCCCGGCCCCGGCGCGGGGGCTCCGCGCTCACCTGCGCGGGGAGACCCCGGAGGGAGCCCCCCGCCCCCATCTGCCCAGGGGGATGCGGGCGAGAGGCACCCCCTGGTCTACCTGTCCTCCCCCCGCCCCGAGGCTGCCTGTACCCCCCTAATCTCCCTGCACCCTCCTGGCTTGCTGCATCCCCCTGATCTGCCCGTTCAGCCCCCGAACTTCCCACATCGCCCCCCGAGCCGTTTATAGCCCCCAAGTTGCTGCACCCCCCAAATCTGCCTGCACCCCCTTTGGAGCTGCCTGTACCCCCCTAATCTCTGTGCGCCCCCCTGGAACTGCCTGTATTCCAAATGTGCTGCACCTCCCCCGGAGCTGCTGCACCCCCCAACTCTGCCCCTACCCCTCCAAGCTGCCTACACCCCCCTGATCTCCGTGTGTTCCTCCACCTGAGCTGCCTGCACCCGCCAAAATCTGCCTGCACCCCCTGATCTCCGTGTGTTCCTCCACCCGAGCTGCCCACATCCCCCCAGAACTGCCTGTACCCCCAAAGCTTCCTGCACCCCCCACTGGAGCTCCCTGTGCCCCCAAACCTGCCTCCAACCCGCCAAGTGGCACAGCCCGGTGCACACCCCTGGAGACACAGCAGGGGCACACGCGTGTGCACAGGACACGTGTGTTTGCACAGGGGTGATGTTCTCACATACACGTGTGTGCAGGTGTTCGTGCTCGCTCGTGCACACGCGTGGACACGAGTACATGCACAGGCCAGTGACTTGACATGATCACACACACACACACACACACACACGTGTCTGTGCACACACGTGTGCGTGCAGGGCTGGGGGGGGCTGTGGCAGAGCCCGGGGGAGGGATTCACCCCTCGGGTGAACCCTCGGTCCCTCCCTGGTAACAAGCGCTGAGGGATTTCCCAAGGTTTCTCTCCCCTGGGAACCGCCGCGGGAAGGGGCAGGTTGTGCCGCGGGGCCGGTTCTGGGCAAGAAAAGCAAGAAATGGTGTTTCTGGTTCAGCAGCAGCAACTCTGGAATGGAAGGAGAGAGGTTTCTGTTCTGGACTGGGGTGAAAAGGCCCCAGCAGAGCCCCCGTCGCCTCCCTCCTCCGGGCCACATCCCCCCCGTGCCCCCAGAACCTCCGGCTCGGGCCGGCGAGCCAAGTCCCGGCTTGCCGCGTCCCTAATCCCCCGAAGAACAGGATTTCTCACCAGGCGCTGACATAACCTCACCTACAGCAGCGCCGGGGCCGTGCCAGAGGGGACAGGGACGGGGACAGGCAGAGCTGCAGGGGCTCGGGGAAGGGGTGCTGGAGAAGGGTCACCCCAACCCCTTCACCCAGGGGGGCAGGAGCTGCGCCCCCCCCATCCCGGAGCCACGGCAGGGGTGATGCTGCGTGTTTGCTTAAAGTTTAGGGAACGAAGGGAGAAAAAGAAGCCCCATTCCAAGAGCAGTGGGTGGAGGGGGCTGGGGTGGGATCTGCCTGCAACCCCCTCCGGACACCCTCGTCCCCCTCACCCCATGCTGGGCACCACGACCCAGTGGGGTTGTGAACGCCAGCCCCAGCGGCCCCACATCTGGAAGGGATTCTGCCGGGAAGGGCGGATAAAGCCTTCGCACCCCACCCTCCTCTCCCTCCCTCCCTCCCATCCCAGCAAAGCCCTGGGGTGGGCAGGCAAACCACTGGCCCCAAATAACCCCCCCGGAGCGCCAGTGACCCCCGGGAAGGACACGGATTCTCTGGGAGGCGGGCAGGGAGCCGCGTCCCAGCGCCTGGGCAGCAGCAGCTGGCTCGGCCTCTGGAAACATCCGGCAGCGGCCGCCGCCTGCGTCCCCCTTCCCGGCAAAAATCCTCAGAAACCGCAGAAATCCCGAGCGCAAACCACAGGGGGCTCCCCCAGCCCGGGCACGACTCCCTTCCCGCCCTGGCACCGCTGTGGGCCCCCTCCCCCAAACGCTGCCAGTGCCCCAGAGCCCCTCCTGGGAGGATGTGGCTGCTCGGGGATGTTCCCCCCTCCGTGGTGCCCGGGATCCACCCCGGGAGGGGTGACGTGTACCCACACCCAGCACAGAAGCCAAGGCCACCGGGGGCTCGTCCTGACGCCCCCCCCCCCCCCCATCAGCCTCTCACGACGTCGGGAGAGGGGACGGGGGGGGGGCTCCAATGTGTGGGGCCGGGGGGGTGAAGCCTGAGTGAGGGCAGGTCACCCGTCGCCTCCACCCCAAGTCCCTGCAAATCCATCCCAGCTGGCGGGAGACCCCCCTCCTCCTCCTCCTCCTCCTCCCCCCCCTCCGGCCACGGCCACGGCCGCTGCGGAAATGAAACACAGCTGGACGGCGCGACCGAGTCCGGCCCCGGCCCCGTGGCCGCCGGGACCTCCGGCTGTGGGGCAGGAGGGAGCCCACGTGCCCCAAGGCCTCTGCCTGTGCCCCCACAGCAGGACCCTGCCCTGGCCCAGGACCCTGAGCCAACCCCAGTCCCTGCCCAGGACCCTTCCTCAGTCCCAGGAGCCTGAGCCAACCCCAGTCCCTGCCCAGGACCCTTCCTCAGTCCCAGGAGCCTGAGCCAGCCCCAGAACCTGCCCTGGCCCAGGACCTTGCCTGAGTCCCAGGATCTGGCCCCGGGACCCTTCCTCAGCTCTGAGACACTTCCCTGGCACAGGACCTTGCCTCAGATCCTGCCCCAGCCCTAGGACCCTTCCTCAATCCCAGCCCCTGCCCCAGCCCCAGGACTCTTCCTCAGCCCCAGGACCCTTCACTAGCCCCAAACCCTCCCCAGCCCCGGGAACCTTCCTCGGCCCCAGCACCTGCCCCAGCCCCAGGACTCTTCCTTAGCTCTGGGACCCTGCTCCTGCCCCCGTCTTGGCCCCATCCGGAGGGACTCCAGGCTGGGATGCAAGCGAAGCCCCCAGGACTCTGAGTCGCATCCAGCGCCCGCTGAGGGCTGGGGGCCCGGCCGGCTGCTTCTCATTTCCAGGGCCATAAACCCCTTTAACGACCGGCCATTTATAACCGCTGTAAAGCCCCTAATCACCGCCAAACCCAGCCCAGACACAAAGGTTCTCGCCTGCTCCTCCCGCGCTCCCACCTTCCTTTGGATTTTGGGGCTCTGACGGCTTTCCCACCCCCACCCAGGCCGTAGGGACGGGTGTGCAAAGGCAGGAGCGGGAGGGAAGAGCCCCCATAAAACCGCGAAACTCCCGACCCGTGGGATGCTCGGGCGTCCGCTCCCCGGTGCTGCGGGGGTGGGGACCCAAATCTGCGTATTTAACCCCAAATAAAGGTGGAAGGCCTCCCCACTGCGGCGTTCTGCCCCCCAAGACACCCCCTCCCCCGGGCTCTGCCGCCCCGAGCCAAGCGGAGCCACGTAAACACGAGGAAAGGCTGGAAAAAGTGACGCACGTCGGGGGCTCGGGGCCGCGTCCAGCCCGGCGCGGGCGGGGGAGCCCCCAAGGCGGCTGCGGGCTCGGCCCCGGCCCCGCTCCCGGGGCTGCCGCGGCCCCTCCGGTACAGCAGCACCGGAGAGACCCGCCGGCGGTTCAACCAGAAGAGG